AGAGGGTATAGGTAGTCTATCTCATCAATCATCATCATCATCAACAGCCTTAAATAGTCCACTGCTGGACATAGGCCTCTCTTTAGAAAAGAGGTTTTGGCCTACTATACCACGCTGGCCAGACGGGTCGGTATAGGGTTTGTTTCAAGTTTTCCTTCTCTTCGCAGTGCTGTGCAGTTGCCCTGCGCAGTTAGTTTCCTTAGTCGGCTCTTACGACACCCACGGGGTGAATAGCCTATCTATGTATATTAAATATTACGTTGGTTTATGTACGCTTCAAAAACTCAAAATGTTCAGCACCGATTAAGCCCAAAGTAGATGTGCAAACCTCCCAAACAAATTGGGACCGCAGTGGCCACTTATTAAATAGAATAAAAGTATTTTGTAAAGATAAAAATAAAATCTATTATTCTGTAAAACATTTATTTATCTAAAAGTCAAAGGATTATAGATATAAAGCAGCTTTGCACAGAATGTCGTCTTGGAGAACTGAATTGAATTAATTTTCCAAGTAAATATGCTAGCATACCTAACTACGATTAATTTTAACAGTAAAATAAATTTAATCATGCCTGCAGTCAAAAATTTGACAAAAAAAAAGCAAAAACAAAATAAAAGCGCAAACAATGATGGCCAATAGAGACGTGACAGCCAGTGAAAGAGAAAAAAAGGTTGCCATTTTTTGTGAATAAAATCAATATTTACAGCTAGTGTACTGTGAAAAATAATATTCAAAGAAAGGTATTAAATGTATATAATATGTATAAATAATATGTATAATAATATAATATGTATAATGTAATAATATAATGTATAATAATAATAATATAATATGTATAATAATATGTATAAAGAAAGGTAAAAAAAATACAAATCTTTTTATACCTTTTACAATTGCAGTTGTGAATCATTCATAAAGTATCGACTAATAACGGTACCATTCTTAGGACTGGCAATAAATACCATATCGAACTATCGAATTCATCAAAATCAAAACCTATTAAATCAAATTATTTTTGTATAATTATACCGAGCTAAAAACGTCAATAAATATAAAATAAAATCGTTTTTTTTATAAATACCATTCACTTTCTTGCCGCTTCTAGGCCTTACTTTGCAATACTCCTTTTAATATGATTAAACAACCCAGATTCAAAGATGGGTTTATTTATTTTCCTTGTCAGCTTTGTTCCTCATTTCTCCACGGGGAAGCTATATATATAAATAGTTATAATAACGCAAAAGGTTGCTTCAGCCCTTCAAAAAGATAATCCATTGAGTCTGAAAGTATTCAGGCATCCTAAAAATACGCACTTGAAATAAAGTTGCTTGTACTTTATGAACTTTTAAGAAACACATAATGATAATAAAATTCTAGATTTCGTCAGATTCATAAGAATAAAAGATTCGTTATCGAATAGAGATATTTAATCGTAGATATTTAATAAACTATACCCCAGTTTCTGGCTATATGACTGAATGATTTCAAGTCATGTTCATTGTTCATATTCATTGTCTCAGAACTTTTTAAATAAGAATTCGTAAACACGGTAAAGGCCCTCTCACCATAATTATGTCAATTTTAAAAACTCTACCCGAGTGAGTAAAGTACACTTTATCAGGCTTTCGACTCAATATTCCTTATCTGTTTCAAAGTTTTGTTTGAATACCATTTAATATTGTCGCGCATTTAAAAGTTAAAGTCAATAATAAGAACGAAATATGGTGTAGAAATGTGTGTGTTCATATTTTTTTATAACAGCTTATCCGGTTTGTACTATCAATACAATATAATTTTAAAAAATATTTACCTTTAAAAAAAAAAGTTGAAATGATTTTAAACAATTCTAACATGATAATCACGGTTGATTTTCCGCCGTTTTTTGAGGAGTTCCGTTGTCATCATAAAATCTATGTGTAATTTAAATGGGATCATTTTAGAAAAAAACCCTTTCGAATAAAAGAAAAAGGAATGTTGAAAATTCGTCTATATATTATCATATACTTAGTTATGTACGAACATACATAAAAAAAAAACGAATTGATAACCCGTATTATCAATTTGGATGTATTTTTAATATAATGTTAGAATGTATAGTATAGTTGTTGGTTCTGGATGTTTTTTCAGTTACAAACAGTATTACTGCTTTTCTTAATACAGCTGCTTCATGCAGGCATTTTTTATGAAAGATGGGCCAAACGAGCAGACGGTTCACCTGGTTTTGCTTATCGATAATATTAAGAAGTAAACTTCTGTTTAACTATTTTAAAGCTACCTATTCAGTTACAAACAAAAATATGCAAAACATTTTAAAACCTGAAGTACTTAAAAACATACTTGTGGTTTTGTTATGTTCATCCCTAATTTTGACGAGCCTGTTGGTCTAGTGGTTAGTGACCCTGACTGCTAAGCCGGAGGTCGTGGGTTCGATTCGCACCCAGGACAAATATTTGTGTGATAACCACGGTCTATAATATGTATTTATTTAGAAATATATAAGTATGTTTATCAGCAGTCTGGTTACCATAGTACAGGCTCTACCTAGTTTGGGATCAGACTGCCGTGTGTGAGATGTGTGAGGTTATTATTATTATTAATTAGTTTTTGTAATAAAGAGACTACTACTCTGGTATTAATAATATGTCCTTTAACGTCCTTAGTGGCCTATGGATTTAATAAAACCAACCTCAGACATGCCGACAATATGCATAATGTCCCGCGCACGTTGCGCTCGTATTTTGAATTATTGCTCTATTACGTTCACCTAGTTGCCGTGTCTAGCCATGTTCACTGTCGCTTAAATCATGTTGCATTTAACGAGAATTCCCCTTTAAACTACGTACTAAAACGCGTGTTCTTGAAAAATATGATATGTTATAAAAATGTGCGCCTCCTTAAAAATAACATTGTATTTTGCTCTAACATTTTGGCCGTTTTAACGAAATTTTACAATGTATCTTTAAGTTGTTACTATTTCGGATACATAATTGTTAAATAATTGTCCTACACATCTTCATAGCTCTTTTAATGTAAAAATTCATCATTAATAATGAACAGCCTTTGGTGGTCTACTGCTGGACATTGGCTTCTCCTTAGAAAGGAGGTTTTGGCCTACTATACCACGCGGGCCCGATGGGTCGCCGTAGAGTTTTTTTTAATGTAAAAATTTAGTAAATTTTTGAAGAAGACCTTGCACCTACCGACTATTACTTTTGCCAAAATTTAAACAACTTTTTAGTGGGTAAAAAATTCAATTCCCGAGAGGCAGTACAAAAATGCCTTTGAAGAGTTTGCAAACAAAACGGCAATTTCATAGGTAAAGACCTAATATTTGGTAATCACACAGGCGAACCATGAGCTGTAACTACTGTAGCTTTTTAGTTATGTCAATTCATATCTTATATTTAATTAATTTTACTTGTAAAAGGTAAAAACCTTTTAAGATAAAATAGTTAAGAAAAATATAGTATAGTGTAGGTGTTGATTCTGTTTCTGTTGTTCGAAAATCCTCTAAACAATCGTTCTCAGTGCAAGCAGTTCGACTGTGGAATAATCTACCGGAAGTAATTAGGCAAGCCAAATCACTGCAAACATTTAAAAAGCTAGTCACAAATCATTACTTGGCATCATAGAGGAATTTGTGTATTTATGTAACTCTGTTTGTATGTTTTTATATAAGTTGTATGTATTTAAATATATAATATACTGTAAACGTATTTATTAGTAACCTTGTGTTTCTTATATATATTATTTAGTATAGTATTTATATTATATATTATTTAGTATTTTTTATTTAGTTTTTCAATTTGTTGTAATTGTACATCCCAGGCTACCCTAATTTTGTTGACAATATCCGTATAAAGGTTGTCTGTAAGAGATCGCCGTGAGCGATAAGACCGCCTATTGTTATACCGAAATGTATTTAATATCTGTATATATAATACTTCCATGGTGTACAATAAAGAGATAAATAAATAAATAAATAAATAAATAAACAAAACTAAAAATTAGTTTAGCCCTGTCAAGTACTACGTTTTCAGAATAAGAAACGTTATTTGACAGAACTAAACTAATTTTTTAGTGATTTTTAGGTTAGTTTAGAGAGTTTTCGAACAACAGAATCAACACCATTGTATATTTTATGATGATTATCTATCTTTATATAATATTAAAAAAAAATAGTTAGTTTGTTTACACTTCAAAAATTCAAAAGGTTATGCACCGATTAGATTCTCTTTTATCATCAATGCAACCTATACCACACTGAAGCCTGCCACGCTTTATGCAGCAAAGCAATAATGTACTTACTGCTAATTTCATTCGATATTTTTTTTATATTTCATTATCGTCGACTGGGAATGGTGCAAACTCAAATAAGGATGCTGCATTTTTATCGTACATCTACTAAGATAATATTGAAAAAAAAAAACAGTTTTAGAATATACTCCACATTTTTATTGTATATAATAAGGTTTGCAAACATAATCTAACATTAAATCTTATTATAGCACAAGTGGAGTTTTTAGTTTTCATATCATATCCCTGGAAATATACGATTCCATTTTGGAAGATACTACGAAGATACTAGCACTAGTGTTCTTGATCACGTTTTATAGCGTCCCTCCTGAGATAAAGGATTGCTTTGATGTATGTTCGCTCTGATTCCGGCTTGAACTGATAATGTTGTTTGGTTTTACGCCAATGTTAATACATTTTTAGCAGGTCATAGTAAATTTAGTGAACTTTGGAAATATGCCCTACGAATTTGAAGTAATGTCCATGAGTTATATCCAGATCATGAATTTTGTTCTTTTTGACCCGACCACCTTAGAATACATATGAAGTTGGAATTTTGCTTCAGTCTAAGTATAAAACAAAATTGTCATTTGACATCAAAAACCCCATAATTGTTTTGCAATAAAAAGATAAAAAAATTCGAATAAATAGTGTTAAAAGTAAAGTAATCAACGCCTGAAACCTTTACTATTGTTTGTTTGTGTTATTCCGTACAGTAAAATTCACAGAGGTTTTCTTGTTTAAAGTCCTCTAGCACAGAGGGATCTAATATTTTATTTATAATATTTGATATCCTGTTGTTATATGGAGCCGATGCGTGGTCCGATTCTATGGGAAATACTCTAACAGAACTTTCAGTGTATTTAGACAAATTGTAATCTTCACCGAGTTCCTCAGCTTTAGGATGATGTATTCCTCTTATAAGTATTAGCTCTGATTGCAGCTTGAAGTTACACTCATAAGTTTTCGCCAACTTAATTCGGTTGTATGCCGATTCTAATACAAATTTTTGAAAGTCAAAGGAATATTCAACCATTCCTCGAAGATGACGCATACAAATGTCCACTTTGACAGACCAATTTTCATTAAAATGAGTTTGTAAATCTTCTTTTAGTTTAATACTTTTCTGCCCAGTCATTAGGTAGTACATGTGTTCTAAAATTATGTTTTGTAATTGTTCATCGGATACGTTGCCTAAATATGCAACTATTTGTGATTTTAAGGCATCAGGGCTACTATCTAGACAATAAATGACTCCAGTCCGCCCTGTAAAATATATTTAAAACATGTTTAAAAAATGATGTAAAATATATTTAAATAAAAAGAAATTGATTTTTTGTTTATTGTAGAAACAATAAACACAAACGAACATGATGTTTTGGAAAATGTTATTCCAGAAGATCCTGTTTGCTGTTACACTATTAAATTTATATTTTAAAGATAGTTGACTTTTAAAAGAATATCACCGACTTTAATGCACCTAAATCATGGTCGATTGTTAAAACATAGTTGTATTCTTCATGGCTTTGTTTTCAACCCCTAAATTATAAATGTATGTGTTGTACATCAAATGATTTTCAAATTTTAATAGGACTTAACTTAAATGCAACGCATGTAATTTAAAATAAAATAAATATTAAAAACAATTACGAGTTGCCTCTTTTTTTTTAATTGCAAAAATGTATAGTATCCTTGCTTCAATGACATAAGTTATAAATTTTGTATTCTGGAAACAATGTAATTGTAGGGGAGCCAAGCTTCTACACATTGGGCAGGTTTAACTTGAATGAAATCGTTATAGCCTCACAGAAAACCAGTGCTAGCGGAGCCCAACACTCTAAGAGCGGCAACACATTTGTGTTTCTTGAATTGCATTTATTTCCATGGCGGCGCTAGTCACTTAACATCAGGAGATCTGTCTGTCAGTTTGCCCCCCATCCCTACCATAAAAAAAAGTTATGGTTACCTTCAGTTTCAAAAATTTTTGCGACTTCTAAGGCTATATTGACTCCGAACGAGTATCCCAATAAATAAAATCTCGACGATATTTCAAAATTTAACTTGATTTGCTGTAAGAAAAAAATAGGTCAACAATAACACCAGAAAACCAAAATCTATTAAAATAAGAAATATTGTAACAATACATACATCAGCTAAGTATTTAGCCATATCGGGTATAGTTTTAAAAATAACATCAGGTCCTAATTGTAAGGTAACAGTTGAAATTTTTAAGCGTTCTGCCACAGAAGATAATGTGTAAGAATATCCGTCAAAACCTGGTATCATTATTAAGTGGCTTTTGTGACGATCCATGTAACCGTAATCCTGCAAAATATTTGTTTAGTAATTGTTTTGTCATTTTTTAAGAGTTTTTTAAATTTTATTTACCTCATAATTTGCTATTAGAGTCTTCATTGGTACAAATAAATCCATAACATTACATTCATTTGCATCTAAATAATTATAAAAAACCCCAAGACCTTTGTGGCAGTTTAAATCATTTCCTTTCACTTTATTCCAAAGTTTATTGAGGCTAAAAACATAAATATTAAGTTAAATTTCACAAGATAAATTATTAACTATATTGACATCTACAAACCTATTAGTTTTTTATGCACTTACCTAAGAGGGGTTAGATTTAGTAAGTCTTCAGAGGGGTACAGGATTGGTTTGAGTTCTAATCTTATTTTTTCAATATCGGAATTGCTAACATTAAGTTTCTCTAGCGGCAAATTGTAATCGGCATTGTCGATTTCACTTAACGCTGTTAAAACATTATTTCATATTAAATGAACCACATGTTTTCAATTAAATAGCATGACTTTTAAAGAAACTTACCCAAAATTTTGTCAATATTAAAACTATTATTATCCTTTTTATGTAAATTACATATTATTACATTTTCGTAATTCATTTTCATACCTACGTCCAGGGTGTAACACACAGATAGTACCTCAGTGTTCAGAGGCTCGTTACTGCTGTTTTGTATAAACTGTAATGAAACAATTGTTAAATTCCAATCGAGTTGCAAGTGCAACTGAAATTTTATGATTCGTAAAAAAAATATTTCTACACATACACTTTGTTTTTCTTTAATTGATTATTTATTTATTGTCATAAATAAATATTGAAACTAAATTATATTCCAGTACACTAATAGAACATCCGTTTTACTAGTAGAACAAAAAAACGGCTAAACTTCGATTTTGCACGCAGAGCGCCTGTCATTTACAACCCAACTAGACGATTTCCAACTACCCGTAACGATTGCTACAGGTGTTCGTTCAGCAACCGGGACCGACGCCTTAACGTGGCACGAAGGGGCTCAATATGTGAAGAATGGTCACCCATCCATGGAATGACCAGGCTAAGAAATCTTAACTTTGCAATGTGTTAGCCAACTCAGTTACCACTTAGCAATGAGCCCCGGAAACGAAACTTAAACCGGTTCTATATTCAATATTAAGCCAATCTTGTAATACCTTATTTGGATTAATAGTTCTTAGAATAAGACCCGGTAAACCAATGTTCCTGCGAGCTTCACAAATTTTATCACATGCAGACATAGCATATTCATTGCCTAAATTTTTTGAGCATGTACCAATCACTGCAAAGTAACTGTAAGAAAAGAGACAAATGGATATCATCCTATAAAAATTTGAAGATCTAGAAAAAAGGTATAGGTATTGTTTTTCCTTTAAATTCAACTTACCTTAAACTAGAGATATTCCTTGATACACTATCTAAATTTGCTGTTATCATGAAAGTCTCAAGATAACTTAATTTGAAATCATTGTCAAAGTTTTCACAAGGTACTTTTTCTTTGTAATCGTGAACAATAAAAATGCTTTTAATACAACCAAGTTTCTCTCCTGCATTTATTAATTTGTTACAACCTTCTCTTGTTTGAAGATTTGCCGAATTCATTTGTATATTGATAGCCTTTTCCTTCCAATATCTAAAAATGATGCAAAACAATAATACGACTAGTATAAAAAAAATTAGTAAATTCTGTAGTTTTGGGCAAACAGATATTTTTCTCCTCCAAAGGGAATTCTTTATCAGAGCGTTCAGTAACCTGTCGCAAAGATGCCTGAAGTTACGATGATTCTCAATTTACGAGGTTCATCACTGAAGAGTTCTACTATTCACCTCCTAACTCTAGCATCAAATCAACCTGATGTCATATATTGTTAGTCAAAGAATCTATCTATATAATATGCATATTTTCATTTTGGTTATATTTCAAGCCTATAATTATAAGTAGGTTAAAATATACTTCTAAGATATATTTAAATTGTTGAGATAAAATATATAACTTATAGGTAACTGACTTACATTAATTTGTGAAGTAGGTATTCATTACGTGACTTCAAATGTACAAGAATATTTTTTGCACCCCTGCTCACTAAGTAATCAATTATATTAACTCCTAAATTACCCTTTTCACACACTATAATGTGGGTACCTTCTGAAAAGTCTGAACTGAAAATAAAAAAATGATTATCTTTTATTTTATCAAACATTAAACAATAACTTAATCAAATTATATAAAAAAGCACTGTAAACCTTGGAATGACATTTAATCTTAAGGATGACGTTTCTAACTCATCCATTTTCACCAGAACCTTTCCTCTATCCATTTTTGAAGAAACTAATTGAAATGCTCTGGATATTTCCAACGGGGAAAATATTACTCGACTAAGAGGACGGACCGCTCCAGTCACTATACCATCAGCCACTAATCTTTGTAGAACCTTAAATGTTAAAATATGAACTTGAACACTGAACTTTACCTCAGTAATCTCGTAAATCAAAATGTTATTTAGATCCTAAGGTACCTTTCTTTCATTGTCGTTATTAGAAGAACGAAAAACAGCAGAAATATTTACTGCCATGTAGCTCTTGTCGTTACTCAAATAATACATGCCGAAGTTCATGTTTTCACGCATGTCTGATTCACTTACATCTAGGAAGAGGCCTACGAAAGCAACACATTTCATGGCTGCCTGTAAAATATAAAAATATTGAACTGTAAAATACTTTTTCAATTTAAAAATTCATGCTTAAATTCAAATAGAATTAAAAGCTAAGCTATTATTGTTCGCTATATTTTTCATATGAGTGCTCTTTTTCAGCTCAAATGGGCCGGCTTGCATCGTCCTCCGATCGGGGGGAGAGGGGGAGTTAACGGTTGACAACACACTTGAGAGTCTTGAGATGGGTGGCGTTAGTCACATACCATCAGCTCAGCCGACTGCTCGTTTGCTTTTCTATGCCTTAAAAATCTACAAACCCGGCCGCAACTTACTTTACCACTACAAAGGATTACCAATGCTATGTAATTCTTTAGGTATCTCACCTCTCGAAAATAACCAGTGCTGGAGTTGATAACAAGGTTGCATTTTACATTTTTAGTCCTTTCTATCACTTCATCAACCAATGTTTCGTGTCCAGAGCAAATTATATTTTATCTGAAAACAGTAGTAATATCGATGGATAATACTGAATAATGGACGAATTGTATGGATGGCAATTTCAAAATGTTACTGTGACGATTATTGTACACGCTGCTCCACACAAAGGGCTATTATGAACCGGTATTTCAGACAATGGAACTACATAAGCCTGGTGACATAGAGAGTGGTTTAGGAATCATTCTCTCTGGAACATATACCCTTTAAAACAAAAAATATCTTTTTTTAAAATCGCTTCAGCTCTTCGAGTAATCAGCGAACATGCATAAAAAGAAAAAGGTGTTTCAACAACTTTAATGAAAACAAAGTACCCGAGACGTAAATAGTGATTATCGTGAAATATTGCGAAATAAAAATATCTTTAACCGTAAAAAGCATACCTTTTAAAGCTGGAAAGAGCTTTAGTAGAAATGTGTGCTCTCTTTTGTCACGGACTGACGTAAACACATTAATACCAAAAGAAAGACAAATTGAAATGACAGCTTGACCTAAAGCTTCAGCGCCACTTGTCACAAATACAGTCTGATTCTTTTCAATTGTCCCTTTTATAACCTGAAATTTTAGTTGGAAATAAATTAAAGTTTTAACGAAATATTATAGAAGTAATAGAACTAAATAAATACTACATTAATAACAAAAACATACAACTACGCCGTGACCGCGCCGTTATACTTGACTACTAGTAGACTAGACGTACTAAACATTCACATTCTGCCAACTAGATAGTTCCATAACAGAAAGCAGTAAAGAAGGGTAAATAAAAGTCCCCATGTCTTTAGGTTTATTCAAAAAGAAAAAAAAGTACGTAACTAAGACGGGGATCGTAATGTTAAGAATTTTACTTATATAAATGGATTTGGAAGTGACAGCAGAAGCGTGAGCAGGTCCGGGTCGCATCATCATCAACAGCCTATAATAGTCCACTGCTGGACATTGGCCTTTCAAGGCTTTGGCCTACTATACCACGCTGGCCAGACGGGTTGGCATACGTATTTGTAATTTGGTTGTTTGGTAAGTGACCACCGCCGCCCATTTACCCTTTCAATTCAAGAGGCACAAGCCTTTGATTTCCTTACCCCCAGACGAGAGGGGGGGGGGGGTTATTTCACGTTCATCCATAAGATACTAATAATTGTAATTATATGAATAGTATTATCATAACATTCGTACCAAACAATAATAGGCGTACATGTAGGGTAGTGGTACAGTAGCAGCGTCTTCCAAACTCCAGTGAGTAGGAACAGGCCAGACTATAGCTTGATTCAATTTTATTGTGCTCCTGATTGCTCCATCAGACACCAAACCCATAACTCTTTCACCACTGTTTGATTAAATTAAATTATATAAAATAAGTGAAATACTTAGATCTTAAATGTCATCAGACGTCGCCCTGTCGTCCTACTTGATTATAAAACAAGTACACTAAAATTTATTAAAAACAACCAGTTACACTTTTCGCAAAACAAAACGAACCAAAGTCATCTGCAGGCCCATACAACTAAATGCATAAAAACTTTCATCAGAACCGAAATCAGTCTTAATCACAAACATTCGTACAGAAAAATTTACAAACAGAAAGCGTACAATGCAGATTGTTTTTCCCGCCAAAATTTCCAAATAAATAAATTTGAAGACAAGATAGCAACAATAAAACAGCAGCAACAACAAAATTAAAAAAACATCAAATTTTCAAATCATCACTAACAGCAACATTTGATTATATCAAGTCAGTTTACAAAAAATATTTTTTACGCGTCTTAAGGTCAAACAAAACTGGGGGAAACTTGATGGTTCGAGTCTTCCCTACAGTACGGCATCTGAAGCGATGGTTTTAGTGAAAACACCACAGTAGTAGTCTTCCGTAGTAATATTTAAAAAAATATTCTTAAAATATGAAAATATCTTAGTTTTTAAATACTTTTAACCCACTTACTAGCCATTAGTGCCACTAAAGTCCATACCAAAAAATGAACTTTTTTCCGGTACTTTTCCAATAGCCTTTAAGCAGTCTCTTGACGATGGTCCTGCGTAGTGGACCTGAACATAAATATTTAATTTGCTAAACTGAAATCACTTACATCACATATTCAATTCAACTCATATCATAATTACAACAAATAAAAAGATTAACACCAAAATAAAGTGTCTTGTAATGAACAGTTTATAGAGGGTCATATTATTCTATCTGTATACTAAATCATATTAATAATACTAAACTATACCTTGATAATATTATGTTTACTTGATTTCGGGCTTTCCATCCAAATTAAATTTTCAAATTTATTAAACCAAGTACTAGTTAAACACACATCCATTGATGTTAACAACTTTGTGTTTGCTTCAGGTACATAGTAATAATTTCCCCATTGTCCCTGAAATATTAGTTGCATTAAGAATAAAATTAACTTTTATGAGATGATAATATTTCGAGTCAACAATACAAACCTTTTTATATACATTAACTGCTAAATTCTTTTCCAACTGTTGTTTATAGAAAGCATTATCAGGATTGAACGATGGAGTATTATTATCTTCTACTATCACTAAACGAATCTGGTTTTGTTTATCTTGTCTTAAACATTTAATGAGACCTAGAAGTAAAAATGCCTATTTAGGAAACCGATATAAGAATACAGTTATCCTGTTTATAACTATCATCATCAGCCTATTGGAGTCAACTGCTGGACATAGGCCTCTCACATTGCACGCCCCTTACATCGATTTTGGGCTTCTCGCATCCAGCTCCTGCCAGCCATCTTGCGCAAATCGTCACTTCATCTGGCCTACTTATAACTATAATAATGACAATTAAATTTACCCAGTAGTCCACAAGCAGGATGTTTCTCAGAAACTAAAATCACACTTCTCCTCTTATGCAACTCATCTAATACGCGTCTTAACCAAGAAAATTGAATATCATGGTCAATGGTAATATAAACCAAATTCTTTTCAACCCAAAGGTTTCTTTTCTTCAGCAATATTAAAACTACGTTATTGTCAATCGGTATTCGTGTAATAATATTGTAGTTTATTTCTTTTTCCATGTATCTTATATTTTCTTCTAGTGTGAGTGTAAATGCACCTTTCTTTATTACATCGATCAAAATCCTTAACATCTGCAAAACATTGATATTTCGTATATTAATATAATATAAAGAATACTATTGAACTGGAATACTAAGATTTTTGTCTGACTTACCCCATTAGTATGAATATTCGTATTGTAAGCAATAAACAGGTTGGTTGTAGACATTTCTATTTCATCTAAAATATGTTTATCAATATTGATACTCTTGACCTCATAACTGTTAAATGGATTTTTTTCTGCATTCACTTTAATAATATCTATCATACTTTCAGATTTAGAAGTTAAGATTTCAGTAACTGATATTATATTGTCGTCTACATTATTTGCAACCAGTTGCATAATTATGAAAATTGCCGTATTTATCTAAAAAGAATGAAAAAAACTTAGTCGACTTGTTTTATACCCAAAACATTAAAAAAAAAAAATTCTTAGCTAACATCAATATTTCCTTTAAAGTTTTCTGGCATAAATTTCCTCGCGAGAATTACATCAGGTATTGGTTTTACTGGTACATTGTCATCGAAAATAACTCCACCAATTTGAATCCCACCACATCTGAAAATTTTTGCGAATAGTGAACTGCTTTGCTAAAAACACAAAATAATAAATTGACCAAAATTATCAAATGTTATATTTACCTAATGCTATTTGTAGATAACATTTCTGATTTGTAACACATAGTATTATTTAGCACTGTTGTGAAAGCTTTTTTATGTTCATCAACTTGAATACTCAAATTATTTATTACTTTAGGCGTGGAAACTCCATCATGATTTCTTGAAAACGAAGATACTTGTAACAAAGAATCGATAAACGTTGCCCACTCACCATTCCATTTGATGTAAGCAACATTTGTTTGAGTATTAATGGAATGGATACAATGAAATTCTTCACTGAAATCAATTAAGCATATTATTTTGGTGTTTTATAAAAAAAGACTCAAAAGATTTTACAATTAAACGCTTTAGTTCTACGAAAGCCCTTACAAGGGAATGATGCTTTGCATAAATTTATTTACTGCCCTAAAAATAAGAAATAGGTGAATTGACCGCTATTAAAAAAAGCGTGAAGATAGGATGATACTTAAAATTATTCTTGCATTCGAGCAGTCTCTTGCAGCTCTAAAACATAACCATAGTTATTGAGAAACAAGCAAATGTAATATAGTTAAATTTCTACCTGTAGGAATAACCTTTCATGTTTAATATGTTATACAGTATATCGCCTTTAAGAGTCATGTCATCTGGGATAAGTTTAAAATCTTTTTGTTTACAACTGAGGTCATTTTCTGCAGGTTCGACAAATCCAGATACAATAAGACGATCTCTATTAATCACCTAAAACAAGAAATATTAATTAATATATGTTACAACTACTACTACTTATTTTAGTAACTTTTACTTATTTTTTGTTAAACTTACTTCGAAACGGTTTGTAGCATTTCCTATAGTAATTCTGAGTCTAATGACATCTTCAAGTTCTACCTCTAATCGGTTATGGAAAATGATATCCTTAAATGCTATTGACATTTGCGTGTACATATTTCCTTCACGCATTCCAAGAGTCTGCCAAACCAAAACTAATAGCGCACTCTCGGGGAACTCATAAATACCTAAAATTATACAATGAAAATTAATCGCTGTTAATTATTTGTAGTGCGTTTAGTGTAATAAAAATATTCACGTAGGTCAAAAATACTTAAACAACGAAATGAAATATATTGCATACAGCTTGCGAGAAAACACAAAGAAATAAAAATACATGGCCAATGTTTTATTTGTTTCAGTTTGCTATAAATTACAACATTTTATTTTGTAACAAAACTGTATTGCAACGAAATCAATGGTATTTATAGTAAATTTGGGGTTATTAAATATAAATGCTTATAAACATGTTGTTACTGTAGGGTGTGTTGTCAAATTTAGAAGCGTTACGTGTAGCCGGCAAATAGTTGATGTGTTTTTGCTTTCTCAAAGTTTTATGTAATGTACGTATAATTGTACGTACGTATATTGTAATGTACGAATTAAGACATCTGGTTAACTATTATTATGTTCAGATGTAGATTTATGGTAGTATTGCAGGGTTAATTATTCAATTATAATTTATAGATCTCCACGAAGATAGTGCGATTATAAATCTAAAACACACACTTAACAGTTTTAATTTAATACTTACGACAAAACAGCTAAAAGAGTTGATATAATCTAAACAAAATTCAGAAGAAGACAAAAAGAAGAAATAATAATAAAGATAAAGCCTCTACTTCGGAAAAGAATTACTAAAAATAATAAAGTTATCAAATTGACTTATTATTATAAATTAATTTGAAAAAGAAAACTACAAAAATAGTCTCATAAGAATCTCATTATTGTAAAAAATACCTACTGGAGTTTGACGACGATATTACATTATCTGTAACTTACATCGATATTAGTTATGGGGACGTTGACTTTCAAAAGTGCCATAAAATATGTTTATAGTACTAAACAATTCAGATGACATGTCATGACGTGTCACATTATGAATTACGAATCACATTGTGAAACCCAAAATCTATACTTTAGCGTGGGCATGGTATTATGAGGTTAAGAAAATGTGCTCGAGCCCACTTAAAACCTAAAAAGTAATATGATGACTTCCATTTAACGAGTATTTCATTATCTATTAAACACAATTTGTTTCACTAAGCTAAAGCATGTAAAGTAAACTAAATTTAACGTTATCTTTTTTGCGTAATTCTAGTAGTTTTATGTGAACCGGAGTCATTTCTCTTGAGTGCAATTACCGTCGTAGAAGTTGTAGAAGTTGTGCAACATCATAATCTTAACAATTTACATACCATTCCTTGCGTATCCTTTTATAAATTTGTAGTCGTCATCGTGGAGAGATATAACTACTTCTCTGGCACAAGCCATTTTCATTGTTTTCCTCTTACATGTAAGTATTGGCCTAAAAAAAACGATGAACGATGAAACTAAGATGTGACCGCCTATTCTTCTTCCTTTATTTTCCCAAACTAGGTTGGAGTCGGGCTTAAGTCTACTACGACACAGCTGACTGCCAACTTCCACAACTCAAGTAGACAAACTGTTTTCGGACTTTTTAGGGTTAGGTAGGACCAACTACCCGTAACAATATCCATAGATGTACGTACCAGGATCGATAGCTTCACGTGCTCTCCGAGGCATGGAATGGGTCTTAATGTGTTAAGAATGACCCATCCTTAGACTGACCTAATTTTGCTTAACTTTGCAATGTTTTAGCCTAGTCAGTTACCACTTAGCCACACACACAACAGACACGATGCAGTGTGTAGCGGTGTACGAACAAATAGTCAAATACTGTTTTACTTTCTGGAGCTTAAAGCTGATCGACTCGTATGTCGCTGATATGTCGTATTTATACCTCTGTTAAGTTAAAATCAAAACAACTGCAACATTACCAATCAGTACTATGTTCCCATTCCACTAAGTGTGATAGTAATGGTGTACAGGTCGAAACAGGAAATTCCACCTTTGGATATAGAACTTCCATTTTGAGATTTAATCCTTCTTGATGCAATCTGAAATTTGAATTCATAGAAGACAAAAATTAGGAAATAATATCATGTGACGTGACAAAAATATAGTAAATATCAATACACATTTACACATGCTGTGAAATACATTGCTACAATTAAAATCCATTTACGCTTGGAACAGTCGAGAAAGACCGATCAATGCTTTACCATACACATGTTATTTAGAGTTTAATGACCGAAACTTACACTAACGAATAAAAATAAAAATAATAATTACTTTCCAACGGCTTCAAGTAAGAAATTAATAGGACTTGGACAATCACGCTTCGTCAAAGAAATGTGGGTACATGTACTATGAGATCGTCTAATGATTGATTGTAGTAGACCATGTGGAGCTATTTCTATAACTATTGCATTCTGTGGTATTTCAGTTGCATTCTCTTCAAAAACCACGGGATTCTAAAAAATATAATTGATTATTAAAAACCTGTTGTACCTGCTGAATATTCCACTAAGTTTTGTTTTCTTTCCTTTGATGTTAATAACGTTAATACACCTTTATTTTATTTCTAGACGTAGGTTCTTAGATGAATATTTGACTTTATAATTTAAAAAAACTTTAGTCTTTTATTTTGTGCTTAAATTTGTGAAAAAAAGGTAACCCTTTTTGCAAAAAGTATCACACTTATAGTTAAATTCTGTATTTTTATAAATATAATAATAATATAAATAAATAATTTGACCTTTTATAACTTTTTCACTAACTATATTTTTTACTTGAAGAAATATAATTTTATGCAAACTGATACATTCATTAAATTTGCAAACTGCGAGCATGCAGTATTTAAAGTTTGTAATGTTGTACGTAAATAATACATTACAATATAAGGTGAAATATCATCTGTATAACTTAATGAATTTAAATTTAACAAACGGCAACCTGAAAATTAACCCGTCAACTGTTTCATATTAGTATTAACTAGTCAGAATATTTGTTACCTATCGGATATCTAAAATAAATACCGTTAAACCACTTGTAAAATATTCAGCAGATGCATATTTAACAATGTCTTTTTCCCAATCTTGTTTTAAAAATAATGTTGATATCCACTTATGACTACGTAACTTTGGATTTCGTATCAACTTTTTTAGATACGCCATCATCTTTGGAGCTGAAATTAATAAAATATAATAAGTTAAAACGTATTTAATCTACAATATACAATTCAACACAACTAAGAGATATTATTATATCGTAAATAAGATATTTTGGGTACGATAAAACAAATAAATTTCGAAATACTTACCAAGATCGTGTACGTATCTAGAATGATAAGCTATATTTGAACACGGTACTTCTTTAGCAAAAAAGCCTTGACTGACTAAGTCAGAAACAAATTGATTCATGATATCAGCAGGTCCAGATAATGTTGAAGAACTTGCACTATTATGACAAGCTACGTCAATTTCAGGTGGACACAGAGGAAGTATCTGAAAATATTTATTTAGGAATCAATAAAATATATGTGTTAAGAACTTAGAATGTTCAAAAATTCTTACATCTTTATATCCTAGACCAACAGCAGCCATTGAGCCACGTATGAGGGGCATACCGATTGCAACTATTCCTCTAAAATACGACAATAATATGGCTTCTTCAACTGTCAAACAACCGTCAGCATAAGCACAACCCGCTTCACCTAAACTGTGACCTATGACAATTTCTAAGGTTAAAAAAGAAATTAAGATTTAAAAAAAATCCCTTCATACTGGTCGATTTATATATGTACCTATATAGTTATCAGCAACAATTCCAATGGCTTTGAGTACATCAGTAAGACCAATTTGCATGGCAACGATAGCAAGCATCGAGTACGTTATATTATTATCAAACATAGATTCATCTAATCCTGTAAGAATGTGTAAAATATCTATGCCCAATGGTTCTAACACAACTCGACATCTGAAATGTAAGTTTGATAAAGAGCCATAAGTATTATAAATTAAAGTGAGTTCTAAAGTAACGACCATTTTCTGCTAAAACTTTACCTCTCAATAGCTGCAGCAAAAACAGGTATTTTCAATAACTCTGCACCCATACCGCACCATTGAGACCCCATGCCACTATATAAGAACCATACTGGTCGGCTTGTGCCAGAATATACTTGAAAACTTTGTGCCAAGCATTCAGTTTCCTCTTTCTGGTTAGAATCTGCATTATAAAACATTTATCAAGAAATAACATTATGATGAAAATGAAAACAAACAGCACACACATGTAAACTTGGTGGGCAAAACTAATAATAATAAATAGATCTAGAAATTTGTTAGCAAGTAGTATTCTTCTAGTTATGCCTTCAGTTTCTGCTTTGATAAAGAATCAAAAGCTGTATACTGTAGTTTAAAAGGTAGTTTTGTAAGTTTAATATTTTTTTGGAAAATACAGTATTGCGAGTTTGACTTACGTATTGTTGAACGCGTAAAAACTTGCAGGTAGATAGTTCGTTCATATTTATCAATATGGACGAACTTTCGATACTTGAAGATGAGATGAAACTTTGTATTTATAATATTTTATCGCTTGAATAGCACTGCAAACTTGACTTTGCCATGACGATAATGTTTTTTAAAATACTCGTATCGATATGCATGACAGTTCATTGTTCATGCCTAGTCTAATGTATAACAAAATGAATAGATGAAGTATCAAAACCCCAAAAGTTTTGTAGCACTACTTTTAAATATATAAAAGATATTCATATGTATGTGATTAATAATAATCAAGCGGTATGAGATTCTTTAAATATTGTATATAAAATTTACCAAGTAGAAGATAACTACGTCCCGTGTGTGAAGGGATGTTAGTTTTGTAGATGTTGTGGAGTAACGAAATTTGTTCAGGATTAATTGGTTGATTGATTAACATGTCCATTACTTTATTCAAACCATTGTCTTCTCTACCCGAGAGCAAAATTAAACGAGGAATATTTGACTGATAGTTGCTCATTTCCTGAAATAATATATTAAGAACCCATTAAAAAACTAAAACGTATAAATTGGCATGAAAATATTAACAGACTAGAGAAATATATAGGGACTCCAATATTTTTACCTTTACTTTGTAATGCCCTTTGAATAGGCAATGGTAATTTGCGCCAGTATAGGAAAAGCAATTGAGTGCAGTAAATCCTCGGTTGAATGAAGTGGTGCTTGTGACTACTTGGATTCTTCCATCACGAACAGAAGGTATGTCTTCCATAGGATCGTTATAATGTAAATTTCCTGGCAACTTGCCTTCGTGGTAAGCCAGGCATAGCTAAAATTTGATTTTAATTACAGTTTTAATAAAATCATCTTTACGCAGAGTTTGAAATTTGTTGAATCTTTGATTTCTTTTGAAGGTGGGAAAAGTTCAATTTTCAAATTTAAAATGCCTTAGTTGACAAATTGAACTGGAAATAGCTAATCTGACATCTTGGTAATACTTATTTTACTCTAAAATGTCTATTATCAAAGATATCACGACCCAAAATGTGTCCAAAAATGAGGAACAACACAGTCTTGTTTTTGCATTTCTATAGTATAGTGTTAACTTGGCAGTTACTGTTCTAACGGCACTCTAAAATTTGCTAAAATCAATGAGTTTAGTCTCTACAGATTTTGAACGGATCTTATCCAAAACATAAACTGACCAATTTACAATAAACACTAACTAAAATTACTTAATTATGCACCTTAGTTATAGCACAAACTCCACTAGCAGCTTCGGTGTGCCCCATGTTGGATTTAATACATCCTACTTTTACAGGATTAGATTTTGCAAAATGTCTGCCAATAGCATCCAGTTCGTTTCTATCTGCTTCAGCGATACCTGAACAGATTAATATTTAAAGTGATTCAGATATTATATTTTTTATAGTAAGGATGTAAAGTGAATCTAAATTCTTATAGGTATTTACCTAGCCCACAAGCTTCCACATATTCCACTTCTGATGGAGATACAGTTACTTCAGAATAAAATTCTTGCAGGAATTTTTCAATGTTTTCAGATTTGCGGATGCCTAAGAAATCATCGGGTTCAGTAAAGTATTTTCCCTTTATATGCACAATTTCTGTATAAATTCTGAAAGAAAGCAAGATAAGGATACCAAAAACTCCAATTTACCAAATAAAGAGTCTTGAAATTTGTTGAATACAGTTAAAGGTAGTTATTTAAAATTTATATATTATAAAACTCATTGCAATAACTTTTTCGAAAAAAAGCCTTAAATTTCTTTAGCATTAATTTCTTACCTTTTAGCATCTTTGGCTTTCTGTAGAAATAATAAGCTAATAGCTTCAGATCTAACATATCCGTCGCCTTTTTTGTCAAAACATTTTGTTTTGCCATCTAAACATAGATGTCCAGCACTGTAAGAAAAGTTCGAAGCGAAATTTGTAATAACTTGATAAAAAAAAATCTCAATTAAAGCAACTGTCTGATAATTTCTGTATTTTCTGTTTTCGTTGTCAATTTCATTTATGCGTTAATATTATAATTACATAAAAATAATTTACCTTTTTAAATTGAATGACAAGCCTGGATGAACACAAGCATTACATCCTCCTACAAGGGCAGCTTCACAGTCACCACGTTTAATGCTGTCGTATGCTAGTTCCAAGCATGCCATGGAACTGGCACACCCTTGGTCAATGGTAAGCGATGGGGCTTTACTGTCTATCCAATACGAAATCCTATTAGCGAGAACTGCTTTGGAGCTCCTACAGCACGATCAAATGAAAAAAAAAGAAATCATTTTACAAATGAAGGAGTATTGAGTTAAGAAGAGTTCTGAAAAATGTTTTGTTATTTCACCGTGCACATATCTCTGTAACCCGAAATAAACACCAATTAAATATCTTGGAAAAAATACAACGATAGTCAAAACGTACTTATATTATTTAAAGAACTATCCCATATTTCTTAAAAGTTAAAAACTCTTCATCATTAGCATAGCAACTTAAGATGATGACTATGTCCTAAGAAAAAATTTGAAAGGTTTTTCTTAATTTCTCTGGAAGTCAATCATCAGATCCCGGTATGGTGACAATTAAAAGTAATGAAAAGGGTCACCTGAGTACCTTTCAATTACAAAATCAGAGAAATCGCGTTACAAACAAAAAAAACAGTTGAATCGAAAACCTCCTCTTTTTTGAAATTGGTTAATTAAAAATTACTATAAGCTGATACTTACCCACTTATTATAAATATGTTTTTCCTGAAGGTGTCATATGTATTTAATTGAGTTACATCGGCATAAGACGAACCAATGAAAACGCCTAATTTATTGCCACTTAGTGAAAGAGGATTAGTACCTTAAAAAAAGAACGGACATTTTACACACAACGCCATCTAGTTTCAAATTAAGCAGAGCTTTTACTATGAAAGCTAGATTTACTGATAGAACACTTACACTATTTTTTTGTAAATACATACACATTGTACAAAGAAAACAAATGGATGTTTAAATATTGTCGATAACAAGTTGTAACCTAAATACATATCAAACTTACCAGAATCATAGATCGCGCTAAAAGCACATTCCATAACTTTTCTGCATAAAGGGTCTAAAGAATCGGCCTGCCAGTGTGTTACCCTGAAGAACTGAGCATCGAATTTATGCAAATTGTTCATCTTCCCTAAATACTGGGGTAAATTAGGATGTTTTATGGTATCGTAGTTTACTTCTTCAACCATGTTAATCTAGAAAATAAATTCAATTTATATACGCTTTAATCAGACGTTCATATTATGTAGGAGTACTGTACTCTACTGTCCGTGAAAGTCACTGGTGTTAGCGCCAATTCCTCAATGTGGCATTATGCTAAACTTTTTTTCTCATGCATTGGTGTTTTTGCCTGTTTATGTTATTGCACTATATTGTTTGTAGCGTGTATGGAAGTATCTTGTGTGAGCAGAAAAGTATATATTTTTTTTCTTTTTTTTTCTTAGTACATTAGGGCGAAGCGTCAGTTTATAGATTAAAAAAAAACTAAATGATTAGTTTTGATATACTCGTATTTAGTTTCATTGGTTTTGATGTCTTGAGATCTCTACCTTAACTGGAAAGTGCAAAAAATAGATACAAAACTATAAATATTTTTAAACTTGTACTTAATATTACTAAAATTAAATTGCTATGAGTAATGCTGAAATAAATGATACGAGTACATCCTAAATACACTCATGTACATATGCTGAAACTATAGTTAAAAATTACCTGGTTAAACAGATTAGCCTTGAGTTCTAAAACCGTATCTGATTTCGGGAATATGCCTGATATTCCACTGATAACCACCTCTTCACCCGTCATTGTTGATGTTTCTGAAAGTATCTCCCGGTAGGTTGGTATATTTTGCTTTTTTTTTGACATTATTCAGAATAACTGTAACAAAATGCTTCATTTTACTAATTTGCAAAGTTACAAGAATAAATAAAGATTATCTATTTATTTTACGTACAAACATTTACACTAAGTTTGTGTAAGTATTGGGACATATGAGCGCCATCTAACCAAAGCAAGACAAACTATTTTAGAACTAGGAGGCTTATATCGTAGAGTGAAATACATAATTGTGACATAGGGAGCAAACGAGCAAGCGAATCACCTGATGGTCAGAAGCAACCGTTGCCCATAGAGTACACACAATTTTATCACAGAAGCTGTTGAGCCAGGCCTATGGCCTATGGCCTATAACAATAATCAAGTGTCAGGTAGCCTAACGTTTTTGCAGTTTATAGAGATACCACAAAAGTCGCAGATATTACATTAGATACAGATATCGCAAAATCTTGGAAGCATGCTCAATTTGGTTAAAATATCCAAGCATTTTTCCATGCGTCCGTGTGATGACGGATTAAGAATGCAGATTGTCACCACTCCTATTCATACCGTGGGTGTCGTAAGAACCTACTAAGGGAGCTAAACTACGCAGGACAACAGCACTGTAAAAAGAAGGAAAACTTGACACAAACCGTATACCAACCCGTCTGGCCAGCGTGGTATAGTAGGCCAAAACCTCCTTTCTAAGGAGAGGCCTATGTCCAGCAATCTACAATAGTTTACAATGTTTGAGAATTTTTTTTAGAAAGAGAGAAGAAGCCCTCTGAAATTCTACGAGTTTCATTTTGTAGATTGTGACACTTATCAAGTCAATCGTTTCAGGCACTGCAACTAGGTGTAATACCACTAGGATATATAATGTAAGTCAACATTGGAGAGCAAATACTATTTATCTATCTAAATATATTTAAAATCATGCCACTTCTTATCTACGTAAAGTTGTTGAATGTGGCAGCTGATGTAATGTGTTGTATGTGTTTTCTGAAGAAGAATGAACTCAGGAGAGATTTGGAACAAATGGGCCCGCTCGGACCATGGCCTCACAGAAAATCATTGTGAACCCCTTCTATCGCTGCTTTTCACCGAGTGAGTGAGGTCCCCTGATTCTTCTGGGGGGAGGGGGGGGATGGGGAATCAAAGGGCGACACTCTTGAGTTGAAGGTGCCCATGGGTGGCGGTAGTCACTTACCATCAGGCGACGAGTCTGCTCGTTTGTCCCTATGCCATAAAGAAAGTCTATTCGCCATAAATTATAAGGCCACAATGGAAGTACATACCCGTAATCAGCAAATTCTTAATAACGTCCGCTCCAATTGAACGGTGTATAAAAAATTTACAAGTAATTCATCCGGCATTCCCTTTTATATGTTGTTGTCCACTACTATTGGACTTGCTTTTTTTATTCACTATTTTCTAGAAACAAACTCGTGGGTAGTGGTGGTATTATAAATGCGAAAGTGTATCTGCCTGTGTGTTTGTTACCTCTTCACGCTTAAACCGCTAAACCGATTTATACGAAATTTGGTAAAAAAGATAGTTTCAATTTCGGAAAAGGACATAGGATAGTTTCATCATTAAGTGAAAAGAATCAATAATAAGGACTATAAGAGTTTCATCATTTAACTTATTCTTAGAAATACAGAATGTTAATGTATTTTTGACCAATTAATTCATCCCTTTAGGAGGTGAATAGAGGGATAGAGGTTTGTATGGGGAATCTCAAAAATCAATAATTTCTTAAGTAAGGCATTAAACTCAATATTACTTTACTATTCCTAATGTTTAAATAATGTTTTTGACTTTACATTAGAAAAATAAAAATGAAGGGCGTGAAAAAGTTTGTATAGAGAATCTCAAAAATCTAATTTTTTTAAGTAATTCATTCCTTACTTAAAAAAATAAGATGAGATTCTCTTAATCATGTTATTTTACTTTTCCTGAATTTTACAGAATTTTCTTTTACTGCAGTTTTATAGGTCAGAAACTTTAGTAAAGCCCCTGTGACAAGTAGTAAGAGACGGTTCGAGTAGGTATTTAACAAGTTCTCGTTACATATTATAAATATGTAAAATTTATTCAAACTGGTTACTACTACATACTAGCGGCATATTCATATACTTACCTTACATATAATAGGGGTTAAAGTATGAAATTACCGTTGTATAGTAATACTCGTAGATACTTTGAATTGACATAAAACCTTCATGATGTGAGATTTCTGTGTGAAACTTTTTTCACATAATACCTATGCGGTTCTTTTTTTTTAAATGTACGACCTTCGATTTTCTAAATTCAAGTTTAGTGAAACCATTTTGGAATATTCAAGGTGAAATTCATGTCATTAAATATTTGTTGTTTAAAGGTTCAAGATTAATAGTACCGCAGTCTTAAATTAGCTAGAGAATCTTTATAAAGGCCAAGTATGTGAGCTGATATTTAAAATTCAGAAGAACAATGTCTGATATGTTGGAAATTTAAACAATATAATCAAAAGAAAGGACTACAAAATTTTGAAATCAATAAGTATCCATGGCAACAAGTTGGTATTGATTTGTATTTTGATTTTGATAATCTTACTTCCTTAACTGTCACAGATTCACGACTCTACAAAAAAAAATTCGTTCTTTGTCCTAACGTTTATACTAGTATTTTCCGGTTAATTATGCACAAAAATGAAAAGAAAATACCTTTTCTTGGTATAAAGTTTGCTTTTGTGATAGTTATAGTAATAATACTAATTTTTCATTTTTTTTTATAAATTTTAATTACTTTTAGTACTTTCTTTTAGAGTGGGGTTTTTACGTTTACATAGTGCTGCTTGATGGCACTCGAGTGATAAACAACGATCAGGTGTTTTTTACAAGCCCAGAAAAACTTAAAATGTCGTCACGAAAGTGTGAAAATGATGCGGATGCATTTTGTTTTATATGTAATCAATTTATTAAAGTTCGAGACGTGAAATACGAATTAAAGATCTCAAGTTCTCTGTGAAGCCTATGAAGCATATTTTGACTTTCCTGTTCGGAATCAAGACAAGCCATGGGCTCCACATGTTGTTTGTAGTTATTGTAAATGATGTTTGGAAGGTAAGCAATTTTTAATTAAGCGATAAATCAAGTATTAAATAGACATATTAATTTTTATTTCTATATTTTCAGGTTCACAACGGAAATGAATTTCCATCTCTTCCAATCGCTAAATCAGTCCATCTCAAAGAAAATTATGAAAGTGTTAAAATCTTGCTTGAATTTGTAAAGTATCGGCAGCTGATTGGAGATTTTAAAATGGTGGGATTTTTAATGGGGTTACAGAGTGGATATACAAAATATCCGTGTTATCTGTGTTTATGGGATAGCAGAGCGGATTCTAATCACTATACTCAACGGTCATGCCCTGTGAGAACAGAATTGTGTGTCGGAAAACAGAACGTAAAATTTGAGCCGATTGTTGAAGCGGAAAAAGTGTTAATGCTGCCTTTGCACATTAAGTTAGGGTTGATGAAACAATTTGTTAAAAGACTGGATGAAACTTCAGAAGCTTTTGAATACTTGAAAAAGTTTTTTTCCGAAGTTATCGGAAGCAAAGGTTAAAGCTGGGGTTTTTGTTGGTCCGCAAATAGGACAGATTTTCGCCGCCAGTACAATGAAAACATGATGGGCGACTATATTTGGGGTTTAGTGAGAGAAAGTAGTTATGAACATAAAAGATAAAGTAAAAGCGTGCACTTTTAAATTATTTTCCACTTTTCTGTAAGTTAATTTAATAGTAAAACTTAATAAAAATATTAATCATGTTCATTTCAATAGTTTTATTTTTAATAAAAAAATAAAATCAGAGATTTTGGAAAATATCGTTCAATCAGTCTCCTACAGTCTCCTACTCCTCCTCCTACCTAAAACAAACTTTTTCATGTCATCTATTTTTTTTTCGTCTAATTACGATCTAAAATATCGAAATTTTATGCTTTGCAGTCAAGTCAAATTTGGTGTTGACCCGTGAATTATTATTCTAAGTATATAGAAATTGCTTTATTATGTAAAAAATAGTACAGCCAAGAATTTTAATATACAATTAAAATCTAATTTTGATCGGCATGGAATACCGTTACCTTTAGTGTCTGATGGCGGTCCTCTTAACCAGACTTTAGAATTCTTTTTTATATGAACGGGACATAGAACATTTTATTGCTAGCCTATATTATTCACGGTCGAATGGTCAAGCAGAAGAACTGTAAAAATTGTCAAAAACTAAAATTCTTCTAATCCATATCTAGCTTCATTGCGTACAGAAATACAGCCAAAAGATTTATCGTCACCAGACATAATATTTAAAAAATAGAAACCTAAAGTTGTAACATTTAAGGATTGTAAAGGATGTGTCAACAAGAATAATGAAAACAAGTCTAAATAGTACAATAGGAACACAAAGACTTTGTTGTTCTTATATCCTAACGATCAAGTCTACTTAAAAAAAAACCTGAATGTAATTGGGAAAAAGCCATTGTCCAAGTAAGATTGTCAAAGAACAAGTCATATGTCGTTGAGAATGTCAATGGAGTTAGATTAGGAGAAATAGTTTACTTAAGGCATAAGTACTCAGCTAATATTACAGAACCTCCTATGCTAAGAAACTCGTCGAAAGGGAGAGAGGAAGGTGATAGTCAAGTGGAGTCTAGACTTCAACAATCCTCTGGTCTAGGTAGAGTTGTGAAGCCAATGTGAGAACGACTACCGCGGAAGGATGGCGGAAGGTTACGGCCGGTATTAGTCTGAACAATTCCTCGGAGCACTCTCCATGATATATGCAATAGAGAATGAAGAGTGAAGCTACATCTCTACGTAACATCCAAGGAATCGAGCCGGTCGCAAATCTTTATGCTGTCCAGAGGGAGAAGCTGGTACTGTGGTGCCCCTGCATAGAGATTAGAACAGTATTCCATATGCGGTCAGACTTGCGCCTTATAAAGTTGG